ATAGCATGACGTAAGGCCAACCTCTTTAGAGGTTACAGAGTTGTTTTGATCTGTTGCAATTGAATATTTTTCGATTGTGGCTCAAAAATCACCTAAATCCCACTGGAGGTTGCACTATACCTCAACACATTTGAGGAGCTTCTTCCACTTGTGAGCATATATCCATACCGATCCAACCTTCATTGGGTACACTATTGAACCGAACTGGAACTTTGTGTTACATATATTTTGTTGAATCCTCCCAAAGTAATCTAATGTTGGCTCAACTTGATTTGAAGTGAGGGCAACTTGGACTTCCTTGATATTGTCCATGGTGGTAAGGTATCAATCATGATGTCCTGAAATGCTCTCTATAGTGACTCCCGTGTCTGGAATCAATATCTTAATCTTGACTTCCTCTATCATCACCAAAACTAATTTTGTCGATTCTTTTTTGCTGGCAAGGGCACCTGTGATCTCGGACTTCGGGAAGGTAGAAGGACGATTTGCTTGTCATCCTTGGAGAAGGTGTTCCTGAACCCATCGTACCGAGTCCTATGGTCAAATTGCCATAGTCTCTCCAACAAAGGGTGACAAGCATCTTTGGGCATTACGTTGCACCACACATGATTTTGCAGCTGGTTCTTGATCGAAGACTCCATTAGGCACTCCTGTTAATGCTGACCTTGTTATCCTTCTTCAACCACGTCAGGGAAAACAGCTGGGAATGTCTCTAAGTCGTGAAGTTCAATTTGTCCCCCATATGTGTAGACTACATGCATTTTCTTTCACAGTGCAATGGGTGTAGAATATTGTGGCGAAACCACTACTGATCCCTTGTAGCCTCAATTTATAGGACCCTTCGAACCACAAATATCTCGTCCTCATTCGGTGGAAGATTGCACTCACCCTATTTTTCAGTTGCCTCTTCATCATTAACTTCCTCCATTGTATCCATAACTCGACTCGTTGGGCAACAGAAAGCGATTGTCCACAATCATGACATCTGAAGCATTTTTGGTTGGGACTATAATGGGTGTGCTACTCTTCTCATGCTTCTTCTCACTCAGATTAGCTCTGTCCTGTTCCTGACTAATCTACTCTACTCTTTTGAGGCGTGTTCCTCCTGAGGTCAGCCATTGTGGGTGGCTGCCTAACTAGCGGTGGTTGCTTGCTCTACTTCTACCGCCTCTCCACTTTTAGTGCTAAGGTCTACATGCCTCTTAGTGTCCAATAGGTTTGCAGTTAGACCACACTAATGATGATGAGCTTTAGGCCTCCCAGTTCCCCGACTATGTTGTGCTTTTATGGCTCCTTCAGCTCACACTTCAATTTAAGTTACATAAATTTTGTCATGCACTCCTCCATTGATAGTTTCTTCTACTGGAGGTAGTGGAGCTTGAAGAAAATATCTTGGTGATAGTGTGGGGGTAGGTACTACTGTTGCATCACATTCTTCATTTTCTCCTAAGAAACGATTCTGTCCCACTCTTCTTTTTGTTTTTCCTTCTTCATTTTCTCCCACCACAAATAGATATTCTTCTTCAGTTTAATGGCGACGAGTTTCACTCTTCTGTCATCGGGCACCTCTTTGTATTCAAAGATCTATCCAATAGTCTGCATCCACTCAAAGAAATCATTTGAATTCATTCTCCCCTCAAAGTCTGATAGGTCCACTTTCACTCTTGAGTCAGGATATCCTCCAACAGGAACTTTGCCTCTATATATTTTAACTGTCATCTTTTCTCTAAATATTCCAATAAACAGTTCATCTCTATATCTTCCAAAAGGCACCTTATCTCTCGACCTCCTTTGATATTGTATCCCAAAGCTCCCTGGTCGATCCTCCTCTCCATTGAAATCATCCCTACGAGGGGATTCAGATGGTCTGCTTGCTCTCCTCCACATATTTCACTAGTACGGTTGACAGTGATCCTGTCTTGCTTTTTTTTCTCAATGGCATCGAGCCGATGTAGCACTTGGCGGAGTAGCCATTGTATATCGTCCATAGTAGATTCCTAATCAAATTCCCGCAATTGTCTCCTCGGGGGTGTGGTTAGGGTTTTGGGTGTAGCTAGGTGGAGGGAAAATAAAATTTTGGGGGCTGATATAAGGGGAATGCTAGAAATCCTAGGATAGGATTATGGTTAAGCTAGCTCCGATACCAAATGATACCGTAGTTAACTCAAATAATTAATAGGAAAACAAATGTTATTAGTGAAAGCTAGTAAGTAATTACAACCCAAACACAATCGAAAGGGAAAACAATAACAGACACGACACATAAACGCCATAAGGGTGGATCTCAGGGTGGTGTTGCGGTCGATAGGGATTTGGAAAGGTGGCGGCAAGGAAGAGGAGGGACTGGACGGTGGGGAAACAACGACACAATGCAACAATGGTGGCTTACTATCCTGGGCAGCAACAAGCAGGAAAGAGCGAAACAGTACAACAAGACAAGCGGTGACACCATACTGTTTGGGTGGCAGCAGCAAGGTGAGTGGGTGGACAGCAAGCAACAGCAGGTCAACAGCAGTAATTTGCTGTTTGGGGGTGGCAGCAGCAAGGCAGAGGGCGGCTCTGAGGGTTGACAGCTAGTAGGAATGGCTGGGACAGTATGGTGTTCGGGTGCTGGAACGAGCTGGGAATGGCAGCAGCTGGAAGATAGGGAAACTTCTTGGAAACAACAGTAGAAGGCTGTTCGGGCGGCTGCAGCAATAGAAGACAGCCGCAAGCGATGTGGGGAGGATACAAAAGGGGATAAGGAAGATAATCATCACTTGTGAGTGAGATACAGCCGAGCACCGCTCAAACCCTTGGATACAATCTTCGCAGTAAGAAGAGAAACGCCGGCTACTATCTCGAACAAAAAAATTCAAATCCTAACACACACATATAGAAAAGAGCTAGAGAGGAAGGATAAAAAGAAACATGCTAAAAATTGGAAAAAAATGGAAAGAAATTGGAAGAGGGATCGCTAGGTCCAGCTCTGCGCTGCACGCATGACCAGGGTGTCGAGCAATGTCGAGAAATCCCACTTCTTGCTTCTAGCTTCTAGACGAAAACCGGATACGCTCCTTGCGATAGGGTGAAGTCATTTTTACTGGTTCTTTCATAGTTTACTTCTCCTCCTTCGCTTGCCAGACTTATATTTGTGTGAAGATATTAAAGCAATAGAGGTGTGTTTTCTTCTATGGTTATTTGTCTTCCTTTTGGTTTTTACAATAAAGATGTGATGAATATATAAATGTTTTGCTGTTTACTTTGTGTGAAGATATAAAATGATTTCTTTTCTATGGATATATTAGCTATTTAGATCCTTTTTTTTATTTTTCTCGCATAAAAAAATATTGATGGTTACTTGTTGACTAAATTGTTTACCTGTTTGAGATTTCTTTTACCTTTTGTTTTCTGTTTTGTGTTCTTATTTTGTTTTGTTTATGTTTTGATTTGAAAAGAGCATATTTGACATGTTGAAAATAAACTGATTTATTTTTAAAAGCAATCAAAATAACTTGAGTTCTTTTAAGTATTTTTAAAAAATAAAACATAAAAATATGTCAAAATAGTACACTTGACAAACATATTTTTCAAAACAAAAGTAAAAATAAAAGGAAGATTTACATATATACCACTCGTATTTTATGTATTTACATATCTAATGTTTAAACTTCAATTTTTACACACATACCACCATACCTATGCATGAAAAAATGTATTTTACTTTTTAAAATAAAATGGTGGTGTTTTTGATGTGATATGAATGATTTTGGTGGTAGAAATGTAGAAAAGAGCTGTTTTTATGGGTTAGATATGTAAATAAATAGGAATTAGGTGTTATGTAAATTATTTCCCCAAAATAAAAGTAAAAATTGATTTCTTGGACGATGTGAAAGATATTGTGCCATGAATTTAATCATTTTCCTTGGTCATGCAGGTATTGGGATCTAGTGTGGAACGAACCAGGAGGACCAGGAATTTTTGATGTGTGAGTAAATATTCTTGTTTTTATGTTACACAACTTGTATGGTCAAAGCCATTAAATTTTGGGAGCGTTTACATACATACCATCCAATTCTTATGCATTTACATATCTAACACCGACAGTTTACCATTTTACATTCACACCAACCCAATTTTTCATTTCACAAAAAAATGCCACTATTTTAACATTCAAAAAGCGAAATACAACTCTTCATGCATAAGGTGGTATGAATTTAAAAATTGAAGTTTAGGAGTTAGATATGTAAATGCATAAGAATTGAGTGGTATGTATGTAAATCTTATTTTTTCAAGTACCCAAATGTTCTCAGATTATTATGATTATGATGCAGGCGAGGATTGAACTCCAAATCTATGACTTTGAAAACTTTTACTGAAGCGCTAACGTAAATTTGTATTGTTACTAGACCTGTTCGAGATCATCTCTTTCACAGTTTTTACTTTTCCTAATGGCTGCCAAAATTTCGTATGGCTACAGTTATTTAGCCTGTCTATAGTAACATTTACATACATACAGCCCAATTTCTATGTATTTTTATATCTAACACCTAAAATTTGCTTTTTTACATTCATACCAACCAAATCTTTCAATCACATAAAAAATACCAATATTTTAACTTTTAAAAAGTGAAATACACCCTTTCATGCAGGTAGCATGTATGCAAAAAACGAAATTTAGGCCTTACATATGCGAATACCTACGATTTAAGTGTTATGGATATCAATCTTCCATCAAAATATATAATCAGAATTCAAAAATTACTAAACAAACCTTGCTGTTGGCATCTGCTGCAAACTTGTCAGCCACGATGACATCAGAGGGTAACAAGAGTTTCACTTCTTTCAGCTTTGCCTTCTCAATAAGAGCTATAGGTTCGAAATATAAACAAGCCGAACACGAATAATAGTATTTTTTAACAAGCTGAACACGACTTGAGCCCAACTTTGCTTGTGTTTGACTCATTTACACTCTAGTATTAGTGGCTGATTTCTTATTTAGTAATTTAATTATTTCAGGTTTATTGTGCTCCGCGGCTCATCAGGATTCTATACTTATTCCATCTATGAGCACTTGGAAGGATGGCCTGATTTCAATATGGCAGAAACTAGGGTTGCTTTCAAACTTAGAAAAGACAAGTGAGTTGACTATTTACTTCTTTTATTCCAATTTCTTTGTATTTACATATCTAACTTTGCCTTTTACATTTATACCACTTCACACAAAAAAAATATCGCCATTTTAAGGTTTAAAAAGCGAAATATACCTTTTCATGGCATAGGTTAAGTGGGATGTATGTAAAAATTAAAAGTTAGTTGTTAGATATGTAGATACATAGGAATTGAGTGGTATGGATGTAAATCTTCCAAAATAGTTTGTCAGTAGAGGCTTTTGTTATAACTGCTGGCTTAAGTTGGTTTTCTTCAGCCTATATTTTCAATATCACTTTAGTTTTTCATGTGCATCCAATGCATTCCAGCTCATGTTTCCCCCCAACTAAAGGGAAATTTACATACATACCACACAATTATTATGTATTTACAACACCGGAAGTTTTGTTTACATTTATAACACTTCGGTGTTAAAACCTATGCGTGAGAAGGTGTATTTCTCTTCTAAAAAGTTAGTGATAGTGATACTTTTTTTATAATGTAAAATGTTTGAGTGGTATGTATATAAATATGAAAGTTTACGTGTTTGATACGTAAATAAATAAATGCCTCCCCCAAAAAAATGCATGTCGGTATACATTACACACAATTCTTATGTTTTACATATGACATGTCCTAAATGATTTTCCCCAAATATGTATATAAATATATATGAGATATTTAAATGCATAAGAATTGTGTGCTGTGTATGTAAATTTCACCTTGTTTAACTTAAAAATTAATATGTTGGGTTGAATGATTTGGCATTTTTTGTTGCATTTTATGGAGCTTTAGGTTCCATTACATGGCGGTGGCTGAAAATCGACAAAGAATCATGCCAATGCCCGACGATCGTATGTCCGGAAGATGTCAACAGTTAGCTTACCCAGAAGCTGTTCTACTAACAAATCCAATCTATCCAGACCTTGCAGGAGAGGTATGGGAATTGTGACAATTATGTTTTGTCTTGATTTAAGAGGTCGGATTCTTAGACTAAATGACGGGGCATGTAGATACATACCACCTTATTCATATGTATTTACATATCTAACACCTAAACTTTACTTTTTTACATTAATACCACCCAAATCTTTCGCATCACATAAAAAATATCACAATTTTAGTAATAGTGAAGTGCACTTTTTCATGCATAGGTAACGTGGCATGTTATGTAAAAATTGAAGTTTAGGTGTTAGATATGTAAATACATTGGAATTGAGTTGTATGTATGTAAATCTTCCCTAAATGATTTGCTTAGGTGGACGACAAGTATCAGTATTCTTGTGATAATAAAGACAACAAAGTTCATGGCTGGATCTCATTTGATCCTCCTACGGGCTTTTGGCAAATTACACCTAGTGACGAATTCCGTACCGGCGGGCCTACAAAGCAAAATCTTACCTCTCATGTTGGTCCTACCACCCTTGCTGTGAGTGCTTACTCTCAAGTTAAATTCATAATTTCCTTAAATGTCACCTGAAAATTTGCTTTATGCTGTGATTTATAATTACTTTTTGGAACTCGGATGTTTTTTACATATCTAACATCTAAAGTTTGGTTTTTTACATCTATCCCACCTAAATCTCTCATATCACATAAAAAAATACCCCTATTTTGACTTTTAAAAAGTGAAATACACTTTTTCATGCATAGATAAGGCGGCATATATGTAAAGATTGAAGTTTTGGTGTTAGAGATGTAAATACATAACAATTGAGTGGTATGTATGTAAATGCCTCAACATACCACCCAATAGCTATGTTTTTACACATCTAACTGCTAAATTTTGCTTTTTTACGCCTATATCACCAAATCTTGCATATCACATCCAAAATACCATTACTTTCTATGACTTTTAAAAAGTGATGCACATTTTCATGCATGGTTGTGTGGCATAATGTAAAAAATTAGAGTTTTGGTGTTAGATATGTAAATGCATAAGAATTGAGTGGCATGTATACCTTCCTACTTTTTCTATGTACGCCAGGATAACCACTTGGGTTTATTTGAAAACTAATGCACTGGTGTGCGGCTAAAAAAAATTATTACTGACATTAATATTTGCACTGTGATTGATAATAATCTCGATGATTTCATTCTTAATGTAAGTTTGTGTTTGTTTTATGTACAGATGTTCTTTAGTGCTCACTATTCTGGAGATGATCTTGTGCCTAAATTCAGAAATGGAGAATACTGGAAAAAGGTCTTTGGCCCAGTGTTCATATATCTTAATTCTACCTGGGGAGAAACAGGTCCACATATTCTGTGGGAGGATGCAAATTTGCAGGTTGAAGTTGGAACTTTCATGATCAGACTTTTTGCATGAGGTTAATGTACTCCTAGAGTATCATTTCAATTTGGTCTCTCAACTATATAATATTGATCTTAAATGGTCCCGTAGGAACTAAATTGGGATCAATTTTGTATCCCAATTTTGATCAATCTCTACCTGAGAGAAAATTATAGATCAATTATGTATAGTTGAAGGACTAAATTACAGAAATGTGACCACTCATGATGGTCAAGAGGCTATTTCAAGATATATTTGGTTGTTGAGTGTTAACTTTTATGTAAATTCTGCATATTTACTGTAGTATATTCCTGCAGATGCCTCCTAAAATTCTCAGTTACAAATTTGTGAGATCTCAAAGTGATTATTACAAACATTAATGAATTGCTGACTTATAATATTTACTCAAATCCTAAGAATTTCCTAACTTTTATTGTGAATACCTATTTGCTTTATTGCACTTCAGGAACTTTCTGCTATTGATATGAAAATTAGGCATTTACACACAAGACCACTCAATTTTTATGTGTTTACATGCATACCCACCCAAATCTTTAATATCGCATAAAAATACCACCATGTTCACTTTTAAAAAGTGATGCACACATTTTCATGCATAAGGCCAAAATATTGAAGTTTAAATGTAAGATATGTAAATACATAAGAATGGAGTGGTAGATATTTAAATCTCCCCTAAAAATTTTCTCATGCTCCCTTCGCCATGTTGTTTGTTATTCTAGATGAGAACTGAAGTAGAGTGTTGGCCATATGCTTTCCCTCTTTCAGAAGATTACCAGAAGGCTGGAGAAAGGGGCTTTGTTACCGGTAGGCTACTCATTCGTGATAGGTATGGTCATTTTTTAATTGCATGAAGCAATTCAGTAAATTACACAAAAGCTCAAGGAAATGGAGTGCATTTAACTAAATTATGATTCTATGATATATAGAAATTTATCTCCATATGAAAAAAATTATTAGACAGACAATATTCTGTATGATTTGTTATACTTTGTTAGGTACATTGATGATGATGATCTATATGCAAGTTCTGCATACATTGGGTTGGCATTACCAGGAGAAGTGGGGTCATGGCAAAGAGAATGCAAGGTGAGTATCAACAACTCTTTTATTTTTCTTGGCCCACCCGAAGTCCGCAAGTAGGGGCGTGCAAACAGTTAATTTGGTGCCAACGGATAGTTTGGATGGGTCAATTTATAAATTAATCAAACTGAATGAAACCTAAATCGAAAATTTAAAAACAGGACCGATTAAGCTTTTGCTAAAACTAA